TAAATTTTTTTAAAAAAAGAATGCTCAATATTACACAGTGAAAACAATCTAATTTGAAAATGAACAAAAGATGTGAAAAAAAATTTCACCAAAGGGGATACATGAGGATAGCACACAAGGATATGAAAAAATGTTCAACATCATTAACCATCATGGACAAACGCAAATTAAAACCATGGCGATCTATCACTACACGCCTGTGTTTCTGGCCTTGGTACACCCTTGCATAATGTTCTAGAGAACATAAGAGCAGAAAGTCTTAGTACACAGAATACAACATGACCTTTGAAAGGAGGGGAAAATCTACACGCAACATCATCAGGTGTTCATTGTGTACCTAAAAGAGGAAGATAAACTGGCACCCTTGCCTCATATTTTTCTTACTCAGCTTGATTACAATGATTACTTTTAACATGTCAGCCTTTAAATTAAGGACTCAGCAAAGTTTACTAGAGGTAGAGCACATTCTAGTCAGAAAAGTTCAAGAGTTGCTATCCCAAAGGTTGGTCTTGCAAATGTGCTTATCCAGCCAGACACCCTGCTTTGCAATGACTAAGAGTCACTACCACACTCACCAGAAGTTGCAAATGATGACTAAGAAAAACGGAAACCTCCAGTGTGCTAACTAAAGAACAAACTCCCAAGTCAAGGCTTCTGAAAGCAAAGCAGGATTTTCTCTACCATGAACTTGTCCATGAGCCACCCTGTCTTCCTGAGACTCTTCAAAAGGGAGGGCCAGCTTCCATGCAACCCCATCTTATAGGAACTCCTTCCATCGGCCTCCACATCTCCTCACTGCAGGTATCACAGGAGCTAGGCTATGCAAAGTGACATGAATAATGTTGAACAAATAATGAAGGTCAAGGGTAGATTCCATTTCACAAAGCCTACTTCACAACCTCCACAATGTCTCCATGAAACTGCAGCGCCATCTCCAGTAGACACAAGAGGTCCCAGGGCTATGGAAATCCTGCCCTCCACCCCCGCAACCAAAGTAAAGGCAGGATGGAAGTGGCTGTGTTTTAAGATGACATCTTAAATTCAGGAGGAACAGTGGTAAACACTTGTCTGCAACTCCATGTCTGGCCTTTGCTCTGCAGCCTCTGCCCTTGAAAGCAATGCCTGCTGCTCTGAAACCCCCTTCGGAGGAAACATCTGCAGCAGGGTTCAAAGGACAGAGGCAGTTACTCAAAGGAAGTTGGAATTTAAAAACAAACTTGGCAGGGGGTGGACAGTGGTGGGGCTGAACACTACAGGGGCAATTACAGTTGGCTTTAGGAGCAAGGGAGAGAATCAGGAAAAAGAGACTGTTTTAGTCCATGGTTGGCCTCTTTGCCCATGACAGCCACAAGACCTAGAAAGCCAAGTACAAGAAGGAGACAGCAGACCCTGGGGGCTGCCAGCCTGCCACAGCTGGAAAACCCACTCTCTGCCTGGGCAATATCCTGGTCTACATTGGGAAAACACACACACACACACACACACACACACACACGAGAAACTGTGAGAAAGCCAAGAATGCCTCAAGGTTTTTGAAAGAGATTAGCACTGTTTAACCACATGATAAGAACTGGGGAGAGAGCAAGGCCTAAGAACCCATCCAAAGGTCAAGCTTCCAACAACTTATCTGCCCAATGCACTCGGCTTCTCCTTCCACTGTAGAAAAACAGGAAAGCCAAGTTCCATAGAGAAGACACACAGGACTGCAAATCCAGACACCTGGTGTTGAGTCCTCACACTGCCCGCCATTAAACCCTGCTGAAATTATTGGTAAATAATGCCACTCATTAAATTCACATCCTCATTTTGTGATCAATATTTGCAAGCACAAAGTGGTTCAGAGACTTGTCCAAGCTTACAGGACAATCAGTGTTAGGCTCCAGGAGTTAAACTATGGACTTCAGAGTTTATCATTGTTGCAAGGAAAGACTGCATAGGCAACCTTGTGTCAGGGCTACAAACTGCACGTTGGTTAGACAGAATTTTTTGAAGACAATGATGTGTACTATGGGAGAAAATAAAACAGAAAAGACCTCACAGGGAAAGCGACCTTTGAGTAAAAACTTATTAGGTGTTTTGCTCAAATATTTCTTTATATGAAGGAAAAAAGAAAAAGTGAAAAATCAGAAAATTCCATGTTACGAAAGCTATCTTCTGGTTCCCTAATTCAGGGTTTTATTTCCTCTTCTCCACATCTAGCATCACTGATACCCCACCCCCATCCCCAGCCAATTTTGAAATATGATTTTTTTTATTCTTGTCATTTTGTACTCCACACCCAGTGTCCTTCTTTTTAAGTAACACTGAAAGGTTAAAGCAAGTCATTGTTTCCAGGGAAAAAAATCTCTGCATCAATAAAATGTCAATTCTTTTCATCTTCCCTCCTTGGCAATCTCTGAAGACATTCTTGATCCCTACAACTAGGGTGGGGACAGACGCAAGATGGTACTTTTCACAATGAAGAATGATCAGACCCAAAATGATGACAGCACCAAGGTTGAGCAATGCTGATCCTGACTTGAAATTCTCCTTCAAAGGCTAGCAGATGACTTAGAAAAGAACAGAGCTCTATCCTACTTAGCCACAATCAAACCAGATTCTTATCTGCAAGGTATACTAGTCTTTCTAGTTTTAAAAGAAAAACGTTCCTGCTGGTGAAGGATAGGGAAGCACTGGACCGGCATCACTTACTGGGAAAGTTGGGGAGAAGCTGAAATAATTTAAAAATTGCACTTCATCTTCTAGTATCCCTTCTGTGAAAAGAAAAGCCTTACATGGAAAGTGTCTCTTGTCATGAAACAATCAAATGCAAGTGTGCAGAAAATTCTTTTTCTGGAAAAATCATAATTAGGGGCAGATTATGAATATTCCAGCCTCTGGCAAGACATCACAGGATGTATGGTATTCAGCAAAACCGTTGGTGTCTGCCTGGACTGTTATTTGTCCATTATATCCTGGATACTGCCAAATGTAGGATCCAGCAGTCATACCTCAATTGCACCACCCCATGCTGCTGTCTTAATTTGTGCATCTGCATGTTTCCTTATTTACTTCATAGATCTGCAATCAATACTGCATCAGAATGTGGCATAGCGCAGCATCTGATGTCTTAAGAACCAATGCATAGAGAAGAGAAACCTAAGGCACAGAGTCTTCCAGCAGCTTGCCCAAGGCCACACAGCAAGTGAGATGCAGAGCCTAGTGTTGTGGCAAAGAGTGGTAAAGCTCCCAATGGGAAGATGAACCTCATTTGCAAATTCTCCCTCTGATGTGTACCTTGGCAGATCTATACACTATTTTATTTGAAAGGTTAGCAAGTTTTCTTATTCCACCTTCCAGCTTCTTTAAATCCTTAAATAATATTGAAACAAATTATCTAAGTGTATTTGATATTCTATGATAAACTCATAGCCCAAGGAAAACTGCTGTTTCCTCAGAGAGTGTATATACAGAACCACTCCAATAGTGAAAGGGCATCTTTTCAAAAAGGCACACATTCTTTCAAGCATAAGGAAGCAGACACAAAATACTACATAGTTTATGATTCTATTTATACACAATCCAAAACAAGGCAAGTGTGCAGTGTTAGATCAGTGGTTGCCAGGCTCCAGGTAAGGGGAGACTTATTGCAAAGGGCCACAAGGGAAATTTCTAGAATGATGCAAATGTTTGTTATATGTCATGATTGTGATAATAGTTATATGATTGTATATATGTGTCAAATCTCATCAAACTACACAAAAATAATTAGTGAATTCTATTATATAAGTATATTTCAATAAAAGTGTCCAAATAAATTCAGTAAACAGATTTTTTGAAAGTTCAGTCAAGTGAACATCGATTCTCATCTCTATAGCAATAGCATTTTCCATGGCTGCTCATTTCCACACTGAGGCCCACGGTGTTGTAATCATGATTTGAAATGACAGACAGAGGTGTCTTAGTGATCTTCAGTTTACTTTTCTGTGAAATTGGAAAGTTACTCTAATTCTCTAATGTCCACCTCTTTGTTTATTAATTAATTCAGCAAGTATTTCTAAGGGCCCACTTAAAGATATTTAAACACTTGAGTGTGAAATACCCCTGACCTGCAAGAGGACAGAGAAACTGTGTCTTTAAAAGCAAATGGCTAGTATCATGGTCTTGGCCAGTGAGCTTATATGTACTAACGAATGAATGCAGCATCTAGCGTCTTTGTGTGTGTATCTCTCTTGACACACTCTCCAGGCCACAGGGAGAAGATGCTGCTTGGTTGGAGAGGCAGCATCGATGTTCAGATGAGTGAGGGAGAGAAGGAGGGAGCAGTCCTGTGGCTGTGCCCCTGCCTAAGAGATCCCCAAATGCACAGCAGATAATACCAGGAAAATGCTCACAGTACTGAAGACTTGCTACAAAACAGCAGATAGCCACAACCTCCCCTCAGGGCATCTTTGAAGACAAAGGGTAATAGGTATTTACTGACCATCACTGGAATCCTGAGGGCAGGATAACCTTCCAAGTCCTTGGATTCCTTCTTCCACCCCTCAATCCACACAGGCTACCCTATTTGCAGCAGAGCACAAGGGGGCTGTCCTAACTGCAGAGGGACAGTGAGTGAGCGATTTCAAGCCAGAAGTTGACCCAAACACAGGCAGTTCAACAACCAGCAAGCAGACATTCTCATGAGTGTGCTCTTAAAGTGTTTCTGTTATTGTGACTTCCATCCATGAGGAAGTTTCCCTTGACCTTAACGAGCATTCTGTCCAGGCTGCGGCCTCCAGATTGCCATCTAGCAGGACTGTTCGGATCCACCGCACTCCGAGCCCAGCATGAACCCCGCCGCGCATTCGCTGGGCCCCCACCCCGCAAGCTGCCGCGGCCTCCATCCTGGGACCAACACCCTCAAGGACAGGCTCCCCAGGGATTGATTCTCCCGGGGACAGAGGAAGTCCTCAGGCTGATGGTCGGGCCCGGAGCTGAGTCCCGGCCCCGCACCCAGAGGACCCACCGGGCCCGCTCACCTCTGGCCGGCTGCGCTTCTGCAGCAAGTGCTCTAGGTAGAGGTCGGAGAGTGCCGTCCGCATGCTGCCCCCACCCTCGCCCTCGCTCGCTTTGAGCGTCATCTTCCAGGGGTCGGGACACAAGGCTGCTGGTCCAGGCAGCGCTGGGAGTGCGAGGGCCCAGGCCTGTGCGGCGGCGGAGTCTGCGGAGGCGGCGGGGACTTGGCGCTGCTGGGCCTGTCACCACCCCGCAGGCGGCGCGCCGGGCGGCCGGGGGCGGAGCTCCACCCACGCCCCGCCCACTGCCGCCCCTCGCCCCCGCCCCTGAGCCCGCCCACTCCTAGGTCCACCTGACGCGGCGAGCTCACCGCAGCGACCCTTTAGAAACCAAAAAAGGCCCTGCGCTAAGGGCCCAAGCAGGTGTGCGACTGAACCCGGAAGGATTAAAAACCTGGAGGTCGTCCCCAGCCTCTGGCTGGTTCACCGCGCAGCCCACGCCCTAACAGGCCTGAGCAGAATTCATGGGGGTAGCAGGGAGGCAGCTTCTACCTGATGACGCCTAGAGCCGTTTGTACACTCAGGAAAACACAGAAAATCAGAATTAGCCAGCTTTAGTGGAACTTAAAGAATGTAAGAGGTGGTGAACTCTAGTCTGTACCCATAAATGGATGCAGGCACAGCGCCCAGAAACACACCTGTGCATGCACAGAACTGTATGGTACATGATGTACTTAGCATGTTAGGTAAGTGAGGAAGGGCTTTAACTGAAGCTGGAAAATATTTATATTTGAAAAGATGACATTGGAACCCAACTTCATGTGATATACAAAAGAATAATATATTCCAGGTGCATTAAATACTTACACGTAAAAACACACATTTAAAGCTCTTAATGCTAACCATTCACAATAAAATACAATAGTGATGTTTAACTTTATTAACATTAAGAACTTATTTACAAAGATTTATTTATTTCAAAGATAGAGTTACACAGAGATAAGGGGACACAGAGACACAGACAGAGAGAGAGAGAGATCTATCTTCCATCCACTGCTTCACTTTCCAAATGGCCACAACAGCCAGGAGTGGGCCAGGCAAAAGCCAGGATCCAGGAACTCTATCTGGGTCTCCTATGTGAATGGCAAGAGCACAAGCACTTGGGCTTTCTTCCATTGCTTTCCCAGGTATATTAGCAAGAAACTGGATCAGAAGTAGAACAGCCAGGACTTGAACCCACAGACTCATACAGGATGTTGGAGTTGCAGGATATGGCTTAACCCACTGTACCACAACACCAGCCCCAACATCAAGAACTTTTATTCATCAAAAAATACATAAAGTACAAAAAAGACCAGATGTGCATAAGGGGAATATATTTTCAAGAAACACAAGTGACAAAAAATTCCTATCTTGAAAATATAAAAGACTACAGATTAATAAGAAAAACAAACAATCTGGTAGAGAAATGAGGAAAAGACATGATATTTCATAGACAAACAGAATTCACAAATAGAGAAACACATATGGGCCAATAAACATATGAAGACATGTTCAACTTCTCAGTGTTAGTGGTCAAAGAAATGCAAATCAAGACTGCAATGAGATGCCACTGTACTCCCATTCAATTCTCAAAAAGTCTGACAATATGAAGTGTTGGAGAGAATGTGAAAGCATACAATTTCTTCAGTGTTGCTGGTGGGAGTCCAATGTTGTTGGCAGTAATGCTATTTAGGAAACCGATGTTCCAGTATCTCTTACAATTAGTCTGTAACTGACCAGATTTTCCTTTATACACCTCTGAAATATTTAGGATTAGAATTGCCTTGTTTGTCCAAATACAGGAACCTCAGTACACATGGCCTCATTCAATTTTATACCCCTCCATATTTTCTCAGCCTTCATCTAATTCCCAGACCCTCAGGCACATAAACGATCAAAATCCCTGACTGCCTCTGCAATTGCTACATCTCTTAATAAATCTGACTCCTTCGGCCTTTTCCAAAGTGAAGGTCAGTTTCTTTAACGACCTCTATTATGCTCACTACTCCCAGAGAATCTGCATTCAAGCTCAGTCTGACTGCATCCATGGAGGCTGTCATGACTCTTAGCCCTTCTGGAACCAGCAAAACAACTCAGGGGTGTGAGAAAGTTATGGCCCAGGAGGATGAACTTTGAGCAGTGAGAGAAATGAGACAAAAACCTGCTAGCAAGTGATGGGGAAAGGCTTATTAATGGGTACTGTTACAGCTAGAGAGGAGTAAGAATTTCTATGATTCTATTGCACAGTGGATGTGACTAATTTATTTTAAAAGCTAGAATATAGGATTTTGATTGTTTTCACCATAAAGAGACGTTAAGTGTTAGAGGAAATATATTTGTTTACCTAATTGGACATCACATAACGTATGTGTGTATCAAAGCATCATATAATACCCCATAGATATGTACCATCTTTGTGTGTGTGTTTTTTTTTTTAAATAGTAGCAGATCAATTCCCTACCTTGGGAATCCAATGTGCTATGGTTGTATACCACCTATCTGGAGGTATCCAGGGGGACTGAGAAACAAGCTGTATTTTCTTCAGTAGCAGTGACAAGCTTAGGAGCACGCAAATTTGTATTTTCTTTCCATCCTTCCCTGCCTCATTTTCCTTTCCCTATTACTCTTGCACTCATGGAATTGCATCCTACAGTAAGGTTTTCGCATACATGTCTCAAATCACACTCTATCTTCCAGTGAACCCAGGCTTAGAAAACAGTTGTCAGAAATGAGGTATTGGTCTTAGGAAATGGACACTTAGGATAGACTTTGGAGTTGGATTGACTTTATTGAATTAATGATCCTACTTCCTGTAATCAGGGCAAATGAAGCAGTTCCACCAGGAACACAATAAAGTTTCCACCAAACTGCAAGCTGTGGAGCTTAGACCCATCAAAGATGAAGATGAGTCACCCCAGCAGGCAAGCCACCTAGTCCATTGAAGGGCTGACTGAGGAGGAGGGATGTGTAAAATGGGTGGAAGAAGATACCCATCCATTAGAATTCCCAGAGAAGCTGCAGCAGTTGAAACTGTAGCTAGGGTTACCAACTCTTTTTAAGTGTTTTTAGGACATAACTGCCTTTTGAAGGATTGGACTTGGAACACCTTCTGAAAAAGCTAGTGGTTTCTTCACCCTCTGCGTGAAGACATCTATATGATACCCCGTCATAGAATACTAGCATATAAACTTTGTCGCATGCTCTATTTTCCAAGGGATACAGGCCAAGACCCTATGATACCAAAACAGATTGATGTTAGGAAGCATGGAAAATTACTCATATAAACAAACATACGCATTTCCTTATTCACTGAAATAGCAGCCAACCTCTTTGTACTTAAGAACTTATCATGAATGGAATTATAGAACATAAGGCAAACTGGGGAAATTAGTGGTAGAAATTAGGTGTGGTAGAAAAAGAGTTATTATATTTCATATATTAAAAACTTTAAAATAAGGAAAACACTTAACAGGAGAGGGATAAAACAAGAAACAAAAATGGGGAATAGAAAGGAATGAAAATAAAATAAAGTTATGGAGAGATAGTCAACCACACTGGCAGCATAGAATACAATTTATGTGATACAAAAATGTCGATTTCTAGCACCATTGCAGACCAGATAGAAATTAATAATGATATTAGCAAGGTTGCTGGCTACCATCATATAGAAATCAACTGCATTTCTATATACCAGCAACAGACAGAACTTGTAATTTTAGAAGGTACAATTTTATCATAACATCTAAAACTATCAAATACCTAGGAATAAACTGAACGATACATTTGTACTGTATGGAGAGAATTATAACGTTCTATTGGAATTGATTAAAGAAGAGCTAAGAAATGAAGAGATAAATGTTTGTAGTTTGGAAGACTCAATTTCTTTGGGCTATTACTTCTCCTGAAATTTTCCTATAAGAGTCAATGCAATGCCAGCAGGAATTTCAACATATATGTTTTGTGAAGCCTGAAAAAAAAATATGGAGTTGTGAATAGCAAGAATATATAAAATGCTCTAGAAAATCAAGGAGTGGGGGGAAGCTGCTGTCCAGATAGCAAGACCTGTAATGAAGCAGTGGTTGCTGAGAGAGTAAGGTTTAGACACAGAAACAGAGCAATGACAGAGGTGGCACTGCAAGTCAGTAGGGAGAGGATAGACTTTCTCTATGTGATATGTGGGGTATACTGGTTATTCACATCATAACAGAGACTAGACTTGCCAGAGCAGAAGGCAAATACTTATCCAAACTACTGTAGTCCAAAGAACTGAAAAAAGAGCAAAATCTTGTTTTAGTTTTTATTGAGGCAAAGCTTACAGTGGAAAAGTACTGGAAAGGCTAGCCACCTGACTCAGAGGATGGATGCTCACAAGACTTGTCTTCTTTCAACATTCCCATGCTGCCCAATGGTCAGCCAGCTGCAGTCCCAGGTAGTCATTGTTCAGAATTTAGTTTTGCTCCTTGGAATTTATTGCTTCTTGGAATTTATTGCATCTATTTGTTTTTCTCAGTTTCTAGAACTGCCTTTAGGTACAGAAATTCTGTTCAAAGTTCGTGAATGGCAAATTATACATTTTTGCAATATGACAAAAATGAAATCAGACTCTGCCTCATACAAAAAAATCAGTTCCAAGTAGCTGAGGAACTTAAGTGTGAAAGACAAAACTATAAAATTTTGGAAGGCAATATAGGACTTTGGGCAAGGTATTTTTCATCTAAATATATTAAAATACAGAATATATAAACAATTTCTACTGATCAATAAGAAATAAGCAAAACTACTAATTAAAAATGGGTGAAATTCATTAACAAAAATTTCATAGAAAACAAATGATCTATAAACATGAAAAGGTCTTCAATCTCATGAGTTATTAGACAAACACAAATTTGGAAGAATTTGGAATTTGCAAAAAAGAAGTTTCTCATTCACCAGATTGACAAAAACTTGAAAGGCAGATGATATTTCATGTTATTAAAAATGTGGGATAACAGAACATTAATATACTGCTGTTAGACAAAGCAATTGGTGCAATGGCTTTGGGAAACTGGCATTGTAGCATGGAATGGATATCCTTTGACATAGCT